TGGTCAATGGCCGTCTGCCACTCGGAGAGTCGGCCTCGGGCACGGCGCGAAGTGCTCGCATTTCTCACCAGAACGGCTCGGCCCCGAAACACGTGCTGTTTGCGGTCAGCAGCCCGCAGAGGTCGGCAGGCTGTGCAACGAGCTGCACCGGTCTTACAGAGGTGGTAACACTAGCACGTCTGCGTGTGCAGCTCATGCATTATTCACATGGCTTACAGATCAGGGCGACATAAGTCCTGGCGACTGGTTAGGTAGTGCATTTGTCCTGTAACCAGAGTCGTCTGCACAACTCCGTACCGGGACATAACTGTTCTTTATATATTTGAAATATAAATTTGTTCGGCAAATGAGCACCAGCTAACTTCAGAACACGGTTCATTAGCGGCCCATGCTGAATACCAATTGAAACTGGACAGTTGAATGTGCCGATGACTGGATACAAGTGGATGGTATTAGGGGAGTGGCCGTTGCACACCGACTCAGTTTGCACACAAATAACAGAGGGGTGCAGAATATCTGAGTTATAACGGGCCTCCAAGGAAGCCAGTAGACACTGTGTCAAAGTAACAGGACATGGATCCAATCAAGATCCCATCGATATCTGCCAGCATCGTGTGAATTGCCGATGTAAATTTCTCCACGTGCCTGTTGTAAGCAGTTTCGGTTCAAACTGAGAGTAAGGGGCTCAACAGGACATCGCCTCAACAGCAAACTTGACACAGGCTTTACGTGTGAAGAGCATGGCTCCTCAGTTAAAATTGACCCCCCAAATCTGTTTTGGCAGCTCCATAGGCAGACAAATACTGTCTGGGACCACCTTTTAAATCACCCAGCGCTAACATGATGTAGCCGCTGTCCGGCCGATCCTACAGAACCGCGGGACACTAATCCACTTCCTCACCATCCATCAGCTCAGAGTGTAATCACGGCCGGGCGGCCCGCCGGCGATTTGTCTCCTCCGCCGGCCCACCGTCAGCCGCAGTGACCCGCTAACGGTCATGTCGCGGCGCCCGGTCCCTGGTGACAGTCTGACCTGTCAGCCGGCACTGTCACCTCCCAGCGCTGACGTCAGCGGCTCTCTGACGTCAGCGGCGCGGCGGTAGCGCGGCGTCCAGCAGAGACCCTCCGGGAGCGCGGCCCGCCTCATCCGCGCTGTACAGAGCGCCCTTATCGAGCGGTCCATCGGCGGCTACCGTCGCGTCCCCCGCTGGGCGACAGGCCGGCCGGCCGGCTGCCGGCTGTCGTCGCCCCGCGGTGGGCAGGTAGTGGAGAGACCGAGCGCCGACCAAACACGGCAGCACGACCATTACTGATGTTTGTGATCCCGTCCCGTTCGTCTGTCCGTCCCGTCCCGTCCATTCAGCCTCATCTAGTCGTTCCAGTTTTCCCGAGCTCCCGCCTACGCCTCTATTTTAGGTCTCCATCTACGTTTCCGTCTCCGTCTCCGTCTCCGTCTCCGTCTCCGTATCAGGCTCCGTCTCGTCCCCGTCTCTGTCTCCCAGCCCGTTCGTACCGTCATTTTTTTCTGTCTCCGTCTTTTACCTCCGCATTCCACGTCTCTCTCGTGTCCAGTCCACCATTGTGGGTCAGAGGGCCCGGCCGACCCTGCGATCCCAGCCTCAGATTGATCCAGATTTGGCCGCGCCGGCCGACATCACCGTTTTCAAATAGAAGACAGCTTACCGGAATGGAGTCCAATTAAACGTCGCTCGGCGGCGTGGGCGGCGGCGGGGGCGGACAGCTGACACGATGACACAGCCGGCTGACACTATGACACAGCCGGCTGACACGATGACACAGCCGGGTGTCACTCAGACCGACACTGACGGCGGAGCGGCCAGGCGCTGACCGCCCGCTGTTGACGCCAGCAGACTGGGCAGTCGGCGGAATTCTGACCGCGATCGGCCGGGGAGGTATACAGAGCGGGGGCGAGGGACCGCGCCCGGGGCAGCGCCGCCAGGACCGGACCGGGGCAATTTTCAGTCCTAAACGTCACAACACACCGCCGAAAATCGGATTGTGGCCTGACCTGAAGACGAGTTAGTCTGCGGGAGCTCCAGAAAGAAACAGGTTTGCACATCGGAATTCCAGCGGCCCGCAGCGGCAGTCCAGTAAACCCGTTGAGCGCACCCGTCGTAACCCGCTCGCCAAAATAAGAGCCTCGGTAATACCGTGCCCGGGGAGGTACCGGGATTTAATTGACGGTGCGCGCCGGCGCTGGGCAGCCCGCTGGTCCCTCGGCGGTGCCCGGAGCGCACCTTCCTCCAACCGCCGGTCTCTCTGAGAGGCAGGCCGTCAGACGCGCCTCTGATGCGCCGGCTGGCCCACTTGCTGGCCGCGGAATTAGGTCCAGTCGACCGCAGAGCCGCCCCGGAGATGCGCGCCGGCCGTGAGTCACAGACAATGGGACCGATTCAGTGAGTCGGGTCCCAGGTGACTGGCGGCGGGCAGAGCCGCCAACTCGGTGAAGGTCGATAGCAAAGCAAACTGTCGACCTCAGCGGAGTTGCACAAGGATGGTCAGTAAGCCCACTGTTTCGCATGACCAGACAGATGTATGTATAAGCGCTGGCTAGATTGTTACGACATTATTCTTATCGAAGATGTGTAAATTCGGAAAGTGGATTCCACGCATCAGATGACAAATGTTTCTCAACAAAGACGCCTTTGAACACACACAACATTCCAACGAACCATCACCTAACCTCTCTTTTCAACCGTAAGCTCGCCACCACTCAAAGCTAACCGTTCCTTCAACTGAAGGCCCGCCATCACTCTCGATCAGGTTCCAGGAGCCGTCCGTTCTCTCCAATGACTGCTGCAGCTCCCACCTCCCAGATACAGTACCGTGCAGACGGGCCCTTCTCCGCAGACTAACTGCACACTCCTCTCGGCGTCCCCCCAGGCTTCTCCCCGCACCATAAACCGCTGACCTGTCTCGCCGAGAACTCGGGGTCACGTTGGGCCACCTCCGTGAGTGCCGGCCCGAGGGTCCGGGAGGGAGCCGGGGAGCTATCCGGCCGTCCACCGGCAGCGATCGGCTGCTGGGGACGGCCGGCGCGCGCAGAATGTTCCCACGCCACCTCCGTGAGTGCCGGCCATCGCACCGAGAGGAGACGGCCCGGGGCGCCGTGTGCACCGGACTCCCCCGGCGGCCGGCGCCGCAGTCTCCGCCACCGCAGCAGCGCCGGCCGGACGGAGAGGCGACCGCCGGCAGCCCGCGGCCTGCGCCTCCGCTGCCGCCTGTCGACGGCGTCGGAGAGCCCCCAGCAACGCTCACCGACGCACCCGCGGCACCAGCGGACGCACCGGAGCCGCGACGCAGCAACCGGCAGCGCCAGCGCACAAAACATCTATCTGTGAGCTGGGGCACTAAGTCATACCAGACGATACCGTGATACAGCATCGCTTACTGTCCGACATATGTCATCCCACACCCTGCGTGGTGCCGGGAGACCTCGTCCTCCGCCTCTGGAAGTTTTTTTTTGTTTCTGTTAATGGCGTTATGTGCCTGCTATGTCGTTAGACGTTAATCACTTTGTACCTCTGTGTTTACGTCTTGCGGGGGAGGTGATGGGATAGTTATCTGGGGGGAGGTGTTATGTGCGGACTTGTGGGTTTGATTTCGGCCACTCTAATCGCCCGAGGCACGGCCGGCCACCGGGGCTGACCGGTCGTCCCCTCCTGAGCCAATACAGTTGACCGACACGAGAGCTAGTGTGTGGACCGGGAGCCGGGGCGAATCGAACAGCGCCCGCCACTACGCCGTGCATACCGCGGAGAGACGAGCGGCGCCCGCGGCGAGCAGTGGCGCACTGATCGACTGAAGCAAACGGCGGCGCCGTGATCGGCGCTGAGACTGAAGCTAGAGCTCGGCAGGAATTTATCCACGGGGCCTGAATTCGTCTGGAGCTCAGTTGAAGCTGAATGGTTCCGTGATTGGGCTGCATTGACCCTTGTCATTCTCCGTCGCCGTTCGACGCGAGACGGAGCGTTTTAGAAAGTGAGAGATGCATGGCGCTCGAGGATCGATCGGCCCTTCAGCACCCGGTGACGTTAAAGGCACGAGAACGGCAGCCCGGCGAGCGTTTTCCGCCACTGAATTATGGCTCTATTAAAGCCGCTGGCGTGTTTACGGCTCGATTTAGAACACGAGGAGGAAAACAATAGCCCAATCCGAGCCATATGAAGGAAAGCGTAACTGGCTCCACAACAATCAGAAGCAACTGCCATTCGGACCTAATGCCATCGTCAGCGTGTAATGGTATTTGATGGTTTATGGTATGCTGGCCTAACCAGGCTGAATACCAGGCAGGCGGGGCATGAGGGAGCGATGACTAGGCTCTAAGCTGGGAAGCGACAGGGTTGTTTTACGAGATAGCAGAGCATGAGCCCGCAATGGCATGCTCGTTTGCGGAGGATTGTGAATTTTTAGAATACCTTGCCTGATGCGCACCGATGTTATGCTCCCCGATAAGAGAGCTGGCTACCGACGAAGTAAGTGAGTCATACGGTGAGCTCCTCAGTTCTCGTGCATGCTCGAGACCATACGATGCCGCCAAGATTGTAAACGAAAAGGTGTAGGCACAGTCCGCGCGGTGGTGGTCGCACGGAATTTATCTTAGCATCATACTTCATTATCTTGTCTTCATATCTTGCACACTACCGCCTGCTTTTAGTGAAAGGGAGGACTTCCCCGTATAAAGTGACCAGGCAACATCACAAAACGTAGGTGTCCTTACTCCATGTCGGACGGCGGCCTGGCCCACTGGTTTGGATCGGGTCGCCGGTGGACCTATCTGCTCGATTTCGGCCGTATGATGGGGTGCCCCTCTCGCTTCGGCTGCGGGTCTCTGTTAGGACCTACCACCTCAGTTTGGGCCGTATGATGGGGTGCCCCTCTCGTTTCGGCCGCGGGTCTCAGTTGGGACCTACCTCCTCGGCTTTGGCCGTATTATGGGGTGCCCCTCTCGTTTGGGTCGGATCTCTGTTCGGACCTACCTCCTCGGCTTGGGCCGTATGATGGGGTGTCCCTCGTTGGCGGCCCGCTCCGGTCGCCGGTACTGCTCGGCCTCTCGGAACTCTGGCGGTGGAGGGTTGGTAGCTGACGCCATGCTCGCGCCCGGTCAGCTCAGGTCGGCTCAGCGCCGCTCATCGGAGGTAGAAGGCGGTATTGGTCTGCGAAAGAAGGGAACATTCTGTTAGGCAACACTAATGAGCAGTCAAAGTTTGATCACCATCGTAATTAGCACCAATTAAACTTGCGTCGTATCACGCGCAGGGAAGTAGGAGCACTTGGTATTTCTAAAACACAGCGAATAGTAGGCTTGTACACCACGATAACGTTTCACCACATGATTAAGAAGACTTCACGGCTCACACACACTCGGCAGCTGACGGTCACCTTCAGCTGCTCCCGAGATTTGGATGCCGGCACGCCGCCTTTTGATCTTTAACCTCCTCATTGGTCTCTCGGTATGACGATAATACCCCACAAACGTGCCGACAAAGGTGACAGAGCGACTCTCAGTAGAGCCGACGGGGCCATTTTTTCTGCGTAGCGCGACACACAAAACGCTGCTAACGAATGTTGCACTGTCCGTTCAGATAAGACGCCGCGCTGTCGCGTGCAGGTCCCGTGTAATGCCCGGGTCACACACACGTATTACCATTCGGCGGGCGGTTTATTGTGGGACGGCGGTGGGCGGGGGTCGTATCACGTCTGCTGATCGGCGTGACACTGCCGACACGTGTACACGGTGACTAATGGAGGCGGAAGAATGTGTTAATGAAGCCGGCCAAGGAGCCCTGACACCTGCTCGCTCACCTCCCGGAGAGCGCAGAGGCCAGGCGACTTCAGGGGATACCCAAGGAATCCAGACATTCGCCGGATACCTTCCCAAAAGGTCAGGATGTTGCGTGACAGTAACCAATAACCATACATCTTGGGGCGACCCGCCTTGTCGGCTGTCCAGTGTTCCCAACCTCATACATTTCAATTATCTCTAGGGGTTATCGAGGGGCCCTCGAGCAGTCAGTAGATCATTTCGGCTGACGTTTTTTCGTGACGCCAGTGAAATTAGTGATATATCTCTCCGCTGTAAGCAGACTGTGTTATACAGTCGTACGAATTTTCCGCTTGATTCGCTCGATATTACAGTAATTTATACATCACTCCTCACAGCCAATTACTGAACTTCACTTTGATAAATGAGTCGAACTCGTAAGGAATTATCTGAGGTAATAGCGAAAATCGCCGAGTGATAACCGTTTCTGTGCCAAAACCCAAATCGATCTCGTAAAGGAAGGTCATGACAATGAAATTCACACGGAAAGCCATTCAGTGCTACCTTCACACAACCTTGCATCCAACAGCGCAGCCTTGGAGCCTTTTACTTTTACCTACACGTCATCTCTAATTAAACCGCCGTCCGTTTTCACGCTAACGAGGCTCGAAAGAAAGCGCCTACCCTCTCAGCTTCTCGTCTCACGCCGCGCCGAGTCGGCCGGGGTGGCCACCACGCCGGCATCACGGGGGCCTTCAGCGCTCGGCACCGGCTCACTTTCGCCCCTAAGCCTGAGCAGTGCCTCCTAGTCAGCTAGCTGGTGTCTCTGGTACTGGCTTACCCGTAACCCAGGTATGTACATCTGTGCGTAAGCCAGTACCTCTGGAAGTGAGCCGGTACCTTTGAGCGTGAGCTGGTAACTCTGAGTATAAGCTCGTACCTCTGAGCGTGAGTCGGTACACTCGGGGGCAGATTGATGTTCCACAACTCTTTATCCACCGGGTTCCTATGGCTCAGCATTGGCAGCAGCCGCCTGGTACCGGTAGACTGTGCTGCTTCACTTACTTGTCAAGCGGCACAGCCTACCCACACCGTATGACACCGGTCTGGGTCGGTGGCTGGAAGGCGATGTGGCCGTGGGCCGCCTGTGACGTCAGCGCAGCGGTGAGGGCCGAGCCCGGAGGCATGGCTCGGGTCGGCGCGGCGCGGCGGCTGGCGAGGGCTGGGGAGTGAGGTGGGGTGGGAGCACGGACCATCGCGCGGCTGAGCGAGTGTAGTTAACTTTCGCGTCTCAAGGCGCCAATTATTCTACCCAACAATTGTGCTAAAGAAGTTGTTAAAATGTCCTATCCCCAAGACAGCGCCTATCATCATACTTGCAATGCACATTACGACACACTTAAGCGTGGCAATGGGACAGCCGATAGAACTTATGTCACACGTGCATCGAGGTGCGGAGCTATATTTTGTATAACATATTAGTATTAAGGCCTTGATCGAGCAGATTGGTGTCTATTGTTTCGCACGGCAATCGTCCAGAGACGTGGGAACTGGGGGTTATGAGTAGTGCCGCAGCCAACGCTCCAATTTAAAGCGATTATTACTGTTGCTCTAATATGTGGTCGCAGCCTCCAATAGCAAACCGTTCCAACTAGGAGCCAAAAAGTCGGCCACTCAGGGGGGTTCGAACCGGGCTTCTCCCACCGGCCAATTCACGACACGAGCGTTCATCCACTGAGCTACCGAGAATGTTCCTCGTCCGCATAAAACAATGACATTCACCCGCTGACCGCCAATGACAGTATTGTGACATTTGATCGCGTTTGACCGCGGCGGGTGGTCGCTGGTTTCGGCAGCTCAGTGGATACACGCTAGCGTCGTGGGGTGACCGGTTGGAGAAACCCGGTTCGAACCGTCCCAGGTGCGCGACTTATTTGTTCCTAGATGGAACGGTTTGCTATTGGTGGCTGCGACCACACATTAGAGGAACATAAGAGTTGCTTTGGGACGCCGCGCTATCCAAAAACCCCAGTTCCCACGTCTCTGGACGATTGTTGTGCGAAATAATAGACACCAATGAGCTCAATCAAGGCCTTAATACATATCTGTTAAAAACAATGTAGCTCCGCAACTCGATGCACGTGTGATATAAATTCTATCGGCTGTCCCATTGCCACGCTTAAGTGTGTCGTAATGTGCATGGCAAGTATGATGATAGGCGCTGTCTTGGGGATAGGACATTTTAACAACTTCTTTAGCACAATTGTTGGGTAGAATAAATGGCGCCTTGGCACGCGAAAGTTAACTACACTCTCTCAGCCGCGCGATGGTCCGTGCTCCCACCCCACCTCACTCCCCAGCCCTCGCCAGCCGCCGCGCCGCGCCGACCCGAGCCATGCCTCCGGGCTCGGCCCTCACCGCTGCGCTGACGTCACAGGCGGCCCACATCACCTTCCAGCCACCGACCCAGACCGGTGTCATACGGTGTGGGTAGGCTGTGCCGCTTGACAAGTAAGTGAAGCGGCACAGTCTACCGGTACCAGGCGGCTGCTGCCAATGCTGAGCCATAGGAACCCGGTGGATAAAGAGTTGTGGAACATCAATCTGCCCCCGAGTGTACCTCAGGTTGCGTTGTATGGAGCCTAAGTAAGATAGGTATCAAGAAACGATCAGCAAAATGAGATGTTGTTACACCGTCTAGCTCAACTACGAAGCAAATGAAAACTGCTACAGAAAAGCGAGGTTACTGCAATGATGACGCAGAGTACCACATTGACTTCCGTTGCAACCTGCCCACTTAGCAGCCCTAGTTTAGGCTAACTCAAAGACCGCACTCAGCTCTGCTCGGTCGCAGGACCACAGCCTCCGACTGTTCCGACCCGGCCGGCGCGGGGTGCAGCCCCGCCGCGCGGACCGGACCGGCTCGTTTGAATAGCTGGGCTCGCCGCCGGCCAGGCACCCACGCTAATGAGCAGCCTCGTCGGCACCGAGCCCTGTCGGCATAGTCGGGCAGCGGCGAGAGTGGCGCCGCAGAGACGAAATGTGGCGCACCGGTGCTCTGTGATCCAGCCGAACGGCCGACACAGAGCGCACTCTCATCGGAATTGATTAATGCGATTTCTCTGAGGATGGAGGGATGCATATCCGGACGATTATCTCAGTCCTCATCTATACGGAACGCTCAGAGACAGGACCGCGGGACGCTGGATTGACGTGACCGTCCGCAGAGTGGCTATGAAATGGACTGAGGAAGCCGTGACATAACGTCTGAGTATGTAAAGTCGTTCGAGCGTGATTCTTGACTATATTGCAGTGGATGACTAAATGCCTACTCCATGCCATCTTTGCATTATATGACCGAAAGAAAACAGGGCGGACAAGCCCCGTACGAACAAGATCAGTTTGACTTCATGTCTCACCCTTTCAGATGGTGCTACGTACGATATCTTTGAAGAATAGTTTGTATTCATTGCAGATTATTTGAAAGTCGATGCCCCCGCCGACCCAGTCGACCATGTCGTGTCTCTGTGTGATCACTGATCACAATGTGCCGAGCTGTGTCTGAGGGCCTGCTCAGCCGGCACCAATTATGGTGCGGCTCGCTCGGCGCCGCGCGGCCCGCTCCGTACCCTTTGGGTGACCCGGCCGGGTCAATAAGGTGGTAAGCAGATACTGATGGGACGTGATATCACCCGAGCACCCCACACATCACGGCGCGCCGCCGGCCGACGAAAGCCGACGACACTTAATGCCACGTTGGCTCTATTGAGATTGAACAGCCGTCTGGACACGGAATGGCCGCCTGTGATTTACAAATAGCCGCCCTGATGCGATCTCACCGCATGAGTAATTGGCTCGGTGATAGTATCGCGGCGGACCTATTGTGTGACACAGGCTCGGTGTCAGAACAAGCCGATAGTTCTCACGTGAATGCGTCACAATTTACAAGGCAACGGAGAAATGTAGTTATTAACCCAGTCAGTAACCTAGTTCAGATCTGAACTATTTTATCGGTGACGTTATATCGCACCAATTTCTCTTCTGTACTTAAAATCATTTGTATGATAGGTAAGAACCCTTCCGACAGCTTAGACAATTCCTGGGCCATGGGATGAGATATATGGGTGAGCCATTTGGCCTAGTCGAGCATTAGACCACCAAATATGGCCTGGGTCGCATCTGCATAGGCTGAGCCCGTCCCGTTGGGACAGGCACAGCCCGGTGGGACAGGTCACTCAGGGGACATGCTTCTGCTGGAACTCTGGTTCCGCTGACTGCCTGAGTGGGTGGCCGTCAGCCCAGAATGGGGAAGTGTTATCAAAATGTTGATGGGCTGGTGCTAACAATAAAAAGGCTGGATGTCCTTGCCTTATGCCTATGGTCCCGTTGTTA